CCATTCATGTCATTACCAAAAAAGGAAATTTTTTACGAATTGAAAAGTTGTGGGAAAGAGTTTTTTTTTTTTTTTTTATAATAAATTTTATTTATTTATAAAAAATATATATATTGTATATAATTATAAAAATATATATATATATATTTATTTATTTATAATATAAGAATGGCTATTAGTAACTTTATTATTTATAAGAGATTGCTATGTGACAATATTACAAATCTGAAAACTAATATACATCTCTCTTTACTAAGAAGAGTCTAATATAAGATGCAACAAAAATGGTTCTGACCATTCAAGTATTATTCCTACAAATCCACCCAAGTGCTAATAAAAGAAATATTAAAACCTAGACTTAATACTTAAACAGGTGCCTAATATAAACTAGGAAGGATTAGGAGTATTCAAATATATAAAGGCATTGTAGCCAAGTATACAGGTTGACCTCCAAGTTATGAATAGAATTTAATATACTTGTTTTTCAAAGTTGGCTTGATGTATAGCAGGCAGAGAATTGGAGGAGAAGAGAGTTAGTTTTCTTACACATGAAGATGCTGCAGCCACTTTTTACAGGTTAGCTTCCAAGTCATATAAAAAGTTTGGCATACCCATTTTTCAAGTGTGATGGAAATGTTCAATGAATAGAGTTGGATTGGAGTTTCTTAAAGACATTGCTACCTAATTATGCATATGGACCTATATTGTCAAGAGGGGATCGAGAAACTTTTGCTGTCAACATCAATTCTGTTTATGGAGTAATTAAAATCCTTGGTCGTCATGTATCATCTTACTAGATATCCCAGATATCAACATATTACTTGTAAAAATCTATATTGACATTGGCTGCCATATAACCGGATACAGTAAGGCACAATTCCTTGAGTGTTCAAATAACAATAGTTGTATAATGGCTTCTTAGATGTATTTAGTTTAACTATCAACAAGTAAACAATGTTGAATATGGTAATAATAACCATGCTGATCTTTTGGAGGAGGTAAACCATCTATTTTTTTTCTAAAAAAATATGGAAGCAAAAAACTTTTTAAGGTCCACACTATAAAGAAGTTACCACTTTTTAATATGGTTCTTGAGAGAAGTGAGTCAATTGACTAGAGAAGTAATGAAATGAAAAGTAGCAGTTTTAAGAGAAAGAGAGGTCTAGAGAGGAAAAACTTCAAAGAAAAGGAAAAAACCTAACTTTAACAAAGAAAGAAGAAAGAGAAAAGGAAAGGGGTATATGTAAAAGAAAAATTTATAGAAAAGAAGAGAGAAAAAAAAGGAAGAGAGAAGAAAAGAGTAATAGGAATAGAAAATAGTATTAAGGAAAAGGAAAAAGTGAAAAAAAAAGAAGACAACTTAAAAATTTTCTAAAAGGAAATTTTCAAGTATAGGGAGAGGAGTAGGAAAGAATTTTTTTTTTATAATTATAAAAATATATTTGATACTTCTATTACTATCTTATATAACTATTTTTTGCCTTAATAATATCATTAATTCTTTTAGACATGATTTCTATATATTTTTTATAATTTTTTCAAATGTTTTATTTCAAATCTCTAATAAATTATTCCAAAGTTTCTTTATTATTAATATTAATTTCTAAATCATTAACATTATTTCAAATGTTTTCTATTGAATTTAAATCTGAAAATTTTAATAGTTAAGAAATAATTTTAATTTTATTATTTTTTAACTATTTTTAAACTAGTTTAGCCTTATATTTAGGATTATTAACATGTTGAAATATAATATTTTTGAAAACTAAATTATAATATTTTAATGAATACATTAATTTTTCTTTTAAAAATTGTTTATAAAGTTTTGCATTAAGATTTTCTTCAATCTTAGATAAATATCTTATATTATAATAAGTAAAATATTCTCATATATTAATACTATCTTTATTAAATTTATTTGTAGAAATTATATATTAATTCTTTAAGATTTTGTAGATTTTCTCCAGTAATATTTACATTCTTTGGCTTCAAACAGTTGAAATTTAGTTTTATCAAACTAGATTACTATATTTAATCTTCTATAGTCTAATTTCTATGCAATTTTGCAAATTCTAATCAGATTTTTTTATGTTTTTTACTTAAAAAAAATTTCTTGCACCATGTATAAGCTTTAAATTTATTTTTCTTAAGAATTCTTCAAATTATATTAACACTAATATTTATTTTTTTCATGTTTTTTCAAGAATCTATATATATTCATGGCTGTTTTGCATTCTCTTTTTAGAATTTTTTGGATAATAATATGTTTCTTATATAGAATAAGTTTAGGTAGACAATCAGGAATAGGTTTGTTTTCTAATGTTTGTTTCAAGATATTTTTTTTTAAGTTTAAATATAGTGGAATAATGAATATTGTTACCAATTTTGACAGCAACCTGACATAAACTATAACCTTCTTCTAATAAGGTAATAGCCTTTGCCCTCTTCTCTATAGATAATTGTCTTGAGATCATTTGGTTTATACAAGAAAGATTTAAGTAAATTTTTACAAAAAAATGCCAAAAGTCATGCAACAATAAATTTTTATAAATTGCATCATAAAAAATTTTTAATCACTATTCTATTGTATACACTGAATAGATTAAACTATACACTATATATGGCTGATTCTTTTTGAAAACAACAAAAATGTTATATACGATTTTTTGATCCCCATTTTTTGAACAATACATATACAATATAAATTCTAGGAGTACAATTATAAAGTCAGAAAAATCCCTGTCCGCCTTCAAAAAGAATTACCCATATACTATTAATTTCGCCGTGATTTGATCTGATCAGATCAAAATTCTAACACTTAAAGATCGACGATCAGGTGTTGTGTTCTTTTTGGGAGACGGTGTATATAGAAAATTAATATATAAATTTTTTTATTCTTCCGATGCCATATCCACATAAAAAGTAAACAATTAAGATATGATCATTTGGCCCTATTTTATGAATATTACTTTTTGCATTGTACATTATACCGTTTTTATTTACTGTAATATGAAAATACAGTGTACACATATATCGACATTAATGGAAGATTATTACATTACTATTTAGCCAACATAAACCATCTAACTAAACTCTGACTATCGGTACACGTAATATTTTGGGTGATGAATGAGTTGTTAATTGAGATGAATTTATAATATTAATAGTAGATCTTGTCCTTTCCTACATAGATAAGAATAATGAGACCAAATTGCGAAGCAACTTACTGAAGATTATAAGTAAGATTCTTACCAATAATGAATATAGGGTAGATACTACAGTGACAATGTTTACAAAATTCGCACTTTCCGTCGGGAATAATACTTTCGATAATAGATTACAACGGTATAGACCGTCATATACTAAATCGATACTAAAAATTTTAATTTCGCTTCCTATTTGTTTTAATTCTATTAGTTTTGCAATTAAACATCAGCAAAGTTATAATAGCATAACTTACCACAAATTAATATACCATACATTTCCAGGCCAGCCACATAACCATAAGTATTAATAATAAAATCTAAGGACCCTTTCATGAATTCTGCTAATTTAATTAAACTCTTATTCACGGTATTAAAGCAATGCGGTGACTTTATCTCATCGAATACGAACTCTCTCTCAGTGTCATCAATCTTTGAGAGGATCCGAAAGTCTGACTTTCTACCATGGTTATGACCATCCAATAAACGTCTCTCTTTGGAACTTTCGGATTCCCCATTAGCCCTTTATTTCAATAATGAAATTAAGCGTATACATCTAGTATAATGTAATGATTGCATGAGACTTACCAAACTAATGAGAAATCAGCTTTATTGAATATTTCTTCCAGTATTTGATGACAGTATCGATGGATGAACGTATCTTCGTCTAATTTTTTATCCTCATTATAACTCACCGAAGATAAATAGGTGAAACTGCGAGGAAAAAATGAGTATTAATAATACCTAACAAATATTTTTATTAAATTTAGTTAGAACTTACAAATTTCTCGAAACTGTCTGCACACAGTCAAAGATCTCTTTGTCTTCGTCTGTTAATAATGTATTTCCTTTTGTCCAATTGTTACGCCACTTCGTAATGAGTAATTGTTTGTCATTCAAAATCTAGAAACACAAATTAATAAATTAATGTGTTTGCTGGTCGCTTATAATAATATCAAGGAAGATATTTACCCTGCTGTATTCAATTATTGCTAAGTCAGCAACTGTCGGCAACTCCTTCGGAATTAATGATCTTGGACGAGCTTCATTCCATGCCTTTTCGGAACATTCAACATATTTTGGTTTGAGTTCATTGCAATACATGATCGATGATAGACATCTAAATATACACAAAATTAAATGTTATATCCAAAATTCTACAACTTCGCAAAGAGAACTACTTACAATATCAAATCAATATCTTTCGCGTATGATAAAGTTGGATTGGCTTCTAATTTTTCAATTGACTTTAACTGAAAATTACGAAAGTCGATAGAAATGTTATGTCCATCCCGTGTTACCCACTATATAAAAAGAGAATAGAATTTAGACTATATTAGTAATAAGTCACAGAAAGATAAATGTCTCTCAACACTTACGTCATTCTCAGAGAAATTATTTATGTTCATATTATTAATTGCATGCTTCCATGATAAGACGACCTTGAACAATATGAAATAAATTAGTTAATGTCAAAATTAGGACTATTATATTAAAAAGATTATGTTAGTGTCTATTAATACTAACTTTATATCTCGTTAAACCTTCATCTTTCCTTGCGTCAAAAGGATTACCATCTTCTTTACGTGTTATCTCTACATCGGACTCGTAATCATTCGTCTTAAAAGTAATAATGCAGATTAGAAATGAGCTAATACACATAAAAAAAAATAAAACGTTACTGGAGAGGCATCTACAACCTCGGTTGATTCTTCATTGTAATCATTTAAAAAATTATTCCCGTTGTAACAAGATGGAGGAGAACGATCGCGAAGGTTGGGAGGTGTACTAATAAGGGAAGCTTCTTCAGCTGATCGTTTTTTGGGATTTTCTGTTCCTGTTATTGCCTGTGAATAGTATATTAGCAAAGTAAACAAATGTTTATTATCAACAGTATTTCATACCAATGTATTGTGAACATTTTCGATAGCCGAACGAACGTTTCTAGTTGTTGTTGCAAAGATTTTTACGGAAACATCTATCAACGAACTAGTAGCTTTAACCTGCAGTCAGTAAAGGAAATAAATTAATATAATGCCAAACTTTGTTGAAGTAACAAGTAAACTATAACCTCTGCGGTCTGTAACCGATCCTGTAGCCGTCTACTTAGTTCAATTTTATTCCAAAAAGCGTTGACACCGCGAAAAGTATCACGATGGCCCTTAACAATAAAGAGTTAATATAATCAGTAAAGTATAGACTCCATTAATCAACGCGAAATCAGTACACTGCGAAAAGCAGGTACAACAGACATTCCGACTGTAAGGTAGACAGCATTCCATTGTCCACCGTAGTTGTAAGGATTCCATTTTCCTATAGCGGACATTCCGACCATAAGGTAGACAACATTCCATTGTCACCGTAGCTATAAGAACTCCCTCTGCTAATCACTTACACAAAGATCCATTTTCCTATAGCGGACATTCCGACCATAAGGTAGACAGCATTCCATTGTCCCCGTAGCTATAAGAACTCCCTCTGCTAATCACTTACACAAAGAAAAAAAAAATCAACTAAAGTACTTGCCTTAAAAATTTTGTTTAGCTGACTAGCAGTTTCCTTCGCTTCCTCTGAGCCATCCTTCATGAGATTATCGAGATCCATTTGCAATTTGTAGGATTCCTTCTGAAAAGAGAAGGTAAAGTCCACTTGCTTCGAACGGTATTCATAAAAACCCAGAAAACGATATTCTTTAGGCTCGGTTTCGTTAAAATAAGCACACCACTTGCTAGACATTATCTCTTGATTAATTAAAAAAACGCGAGTAATTTATATGAGAAATGTCGATCATACACTATTCATATACTTATGTACCACAATCACGAAAAACGTAATTTTCACGTGCGCGTTACAAGTGGACGAAACTTTATTTATTAATACATAGCGAATCAGAATACTAGAGAAGCGAAAGTGTATTATGCTATCAAAGAGGGAGTACTCGGATCCTAGGTCATTTAATGCATACTCTATAAGCTTCGGATTGATTTTCATCACTTTGTTGTCTGTTTCCTAATAGGCTTGATTCCTATTTCGACACTCCAGCCTAGATAGTTCCCGTTGCAACTCTACCAAAATTGTTATGATAGTTTTGAAGAACTGTTCGATCTCATCAAGCCTTGTAGTAGAAGTATTAAGCGTGAGGTAAATTCAGCATTAAATTTGGCAAGTATCAATATAGCTGAGTGTATCAATTACATATGTATTTTGTCAATAGCAAAGTGACAAGCAACAAAAAAAAAATCAATAAAAATATTTTTATTATATAATTACATTCAAATTATATTTCTTGATTTTTGTTCAATTGCATACTTAATTTTAGGGTTCCAAAAAATACCAAATTGGTATTAAAATGGTATTAATCTATAGTTAATTTAATATATGAGTTGTAACTCACTTATATAAATTTATAATAGATTATTAGGAGCTCTACTTAATAAGAATCCTAATGATTCTCTTTGATTCTGTATTCAATTTTTAGGTTTATATTAAATTTAATAGATGGGATATAATTCACCATTATTTTTAATAGTGTTTCAAATCTTATGTAATTCTGTGATTCTGTTTGATTCCAATTTTCAGAATTATACTACTTAATTTATATCTATTTATATAGTATATTATAAATTTACAATATTGTTGGTTTTTAATAATTACAATAATTATAAGACTAAAGTTACATATTAACAATTATATATTTAATAATTACAGTTTTAATATAGCTTATTCTTTTTAAAAATGACAAAAATATTATATATAATTTTTTAATTTTTATTTTTTGAACAATATATATACAATATAAAATTTAAGAGCACAATTATAAAGTCAGAAAATCCTTGTCTAATTTTTAAAAAAATTATCCATATAGATAGTTCTAATAATTATATCTCTAATTTTATAATTTTAATGATTCAAAATTTGTAATATTACAATATATATAGTATAAAAAAGTTTATATATAGTAATTCCTGTATAAGAAATATATATATGAATTAAATAAAACATATATACAATATAAGGTCCTATTAGTTGATTAAATAAAATAAAATAAATTATTATTTTATATAATATTTACAAAAACTCTGTTCAATTTGTTGATATAAAGATTTGTCTTTCTAATAGAAAAACTTTATTATATAAAATAATTAAGCAAGTAAAATATTTACAAAAAATTTATTTATATAGTTGTAAAAAAACCATATTGGAAAATTAAGTTTCTTGTAAAAAGTATAAAAATCATAATCATAATTTATGCACTTGTAATTAAAGATGCAAAAAAAAAGCAAAAATAAGAAAACTTGATAATATTTTTTTTAATTTTTAATATATATCTAAGTATTTAATAAAGTATATCAATACTATTACATATTAATATCTAAATTATTATTTATATTCAGCCTCTATTTGCAATATATTTTAAAAATTGGGATCTTATATATAATTATTTTTGATTTAGGTCCCAATTTATAATTATTTTTATTTTTAAGCCCTTTTATATAAATTTCCCCAAATTTTTTATACAAGTTAACCATAATTCATATCAAAGAAAAACCTGTTTTTCAATAAATAATATACAAAGGAGAGATTTTCATTTAAAGAAAAATACTTTTTCATGCAATTAGTTTTTTTGTCTCTATTTTTTAATAAAAGTAATTATCTAAATTTTTTACATATGAATGTCCCTTATAAAAAATTAGCCAATCTTTAAAGCAAGTTCGTAAAATTAAATATTATACGAATACAAAGAAAAGCAAATTCGTAAAATTTAATATTATATGAATGCCAAGAAAAGCAAATTTCAATATCTCATTAAAGTGAAACCATTTTTCGTGAATTTCTTCTGCCTTATACAAATCTTTAGTGACAATTTCCTTAAAAATTTTTTACCGTTTCCTCCCCTGCTAGTGGGATTCTGTCGTAGACTTATGTATAATAAGTAATAAGCATGTATTTTTTTTTTATTTTCTAAATATAACTGTAATAAGCCTTATTGTTAAATAGAGTATTGCATGAAGAATGTATGAGATAGAATTTGATAAAGGACAAATGATCAAGTCCTAAGTGCCTTGGTTAATCAAGACCGTATTATTTATATGAAAACGATAACAATTCTTTTTTGCACCAAAGATATGTATTTAGGGTTCTTGATGGCTAGAACCATTAAGAGATAGATAATATAGTGGATCAAAGATATTGAGCTATTGGCTTCAATAAAGAAAAAAAAAGTTTTTGATTTAAATTCTAGGTTAACACTACCGAGTGATTTTATTTCGTGTCAAAATTTGAAAGTCCGATTCATAGTAAAATGATATCAAGGTTCGCATAGTGCATAAAAACATCAGTTTTCCTTCTGTACCTTCTCACCTTTTGATCATAGATATTATAAAACGCTGAGCAAGAAACATGTCAAATCTATATCCATCCGATGCGTCTATTTCATCGTCCTATCGTTCATCACCAACCACTTTGGTTAACGATTTTTTCTCAGTGCGTGATTCACCGTCGAGGACAAGTAATTCACGGCGGTCTTCAATTATCACGAGAAATTCGTCACCTACATCGAGTCTTCTTAATCGACATCCTCGAACATCAGCGCCTGGACGTGCTGTTCGTGGGGAATCTCAATTGTTTATTGCCGCCGTAATTGAAGGTCGAGGTAACCAAGAGTCTTGATGAATATTTGCTGTATAGATAGACGCTGTTTTAATATTACTTACAATAGGTGTTGCTAGCGAAGTTGGAATTTGCTTTATCGATATAAGAACAAGCGAATGTATCCTTTCACAGGTATATAGGTGGACGTCATATATTTTACGAAATATATTATATTATTAAAAATAAATTTTTCAAGATTGCCGACTCTCAGACTTATGTAAAGACATTGCACAAAATGAATATTTACAATCCGGCGGAGGTATTTTCATTATGTTTAGATATCTTCATACAATATACTTATAATGACGATCATCTGTCTAAAGATTTTACTTTCTGTAACCGCGGTTGAACCTTCAAAATCGAAACTGTGCAAAATTCTTGAGGATAATATGCCGTTCGCGACCATTGTTCCCATAGGAAGGAAATATTTTAATGATGCGACTGGTGAGTGGATCTATTTGTTCGTCATGAGAGTTCTCATTTTTCTCATGGGGCATCATTTTATTTCAGGGTTAACTTATATACGACAGGTAAGTCCACAATAAAATTAATACACATGTCCGTCACAAGTAGTCTGAAATTAATTTCTTATAAAAATTTAGTACGGCTTGGAAGAAGATTCGGCTTCACTGATACTTGGATTGACTTCGAAGTATGCAAATCAATGAACTGAAAGTGACAATTGTATTGTGATTAAATTCCTCCATATTCCTTGCAGATTTTATTGCTTGGCGGCAACGGCAGCAGTACTAAAGTAATTACCATATTTCTCTTTATTTATTTGAGCACCGAAAAAATTCAAAAACGTCTTGCTTTTTAGATACATTGAAAGCGCTCAAAACATTTTCTTCACCAATCATTCAATCAAATTCAAATATCAAGGATGTGAAGGTTAACATTTATAAATACACGTGACACCCTTCAATATTTTCTTTTAATTTAAAAATCTTTTGCTTCATAATAGGAACCATGATGATAGGTATTTTTTTCTTAGATTATTTACAAATGAAATTTTTCTTGCACCTAACATTCAAATGTTCACTTGAGGTAGATTGTGTGACGGCTCGAAATCTTGAATTGATAAGTAATATAAACGATTCGCATAATAATCAATCTTTATATGGTGAGAGAACGAATTTAAGTGTCATTTTATTTATTTATTTATTATTATTTTTTTAAAAAAATCAACTATTTCACACAGGAGTGCTTAATAAGACGGCCACGCCTATGGGTGGTGAGTTATGTGAATTACATATGAATGGTTTAATAATTATCGTTAATGAATAAGATATTCGTAGCTCGTTTGTTACGCGCAAATATTCTTCAACCTTTGATTGGTTTGTTATTTCAAATATTAATTAATCGAATTTTTAAATGTTTCAGTGAATTGAGTATCTTTTACAATTTACAGACATAGCTACAATCAACACTCGTTTGGATTCTGTGGAAGGTAACATTATTTTACCAAGATTTATTGTCCTTTTTGAAAAATAAACGTAAACATTTGCTTTAATCATTTTAATAGAACTCACGCAGAACGAGGTAAATTTTTTATTAGCATGGCGTCATGATCTTAATTAACCGTTATTGAATCCTTAAGTGTGTTATGGTATATCCAGGATACTTTCTTTTCAATACAGACAGGTAAGAAAAAGGATATTATTATATTTGTACTAGAATTCTTAATAATAAAAAATGATTCCTTTTGTTAGCTATCAAGCCGTTTCAGGACGTTGATCATTTGATTACTTCCGTGCGTAATTCATTTAATGACGCGTTTTGAAATGAGTTAAACCTTTTGTGTGAAAAATTTGCCGTGCCTCTACTTTAGTTAATTCAAGTTCCTAGAAAATCCACGATCAAGCACTCAGAACAAAAGATCAATAATATCATTATATTAAAGCATACATTAAAGCTCATTCAAATCCTAAAAGAGTCGTTAGCTGGATGTCAGAATTCGTTACTGGTCGCCATTCGTAAGGTGACTATCTTTGCATCTTTTGTCTTTATACGCTCATTTTTTCATAATTTATTTATCCATGTAGTTGCTTTCTGATCCGAAATTAACAATATTTGAAGAGCGTATAAATGAAGTCATAAACGAAGATATCACATACCAAAAAAGCTCATTGGGGCTTAGAAACCAGCGGTGTTACGCTGTTAAGGTAAGAAATTATCAGCTACAATTTTTCGGCGTAGTATTCACTAAAATAATTTTAAATTAGGCAGGATTTAATGGCTTATTGGATGTCGGTAAGTTTTTTTGGTTTTCTTTACATTCGAGCTGACTTAAATTCAAACACGTTATACTCTCAGCCCGACAAACATACAAAGAAACTGTCAATGACATATACGAACTAGTCGATAAATACATCGGTGTGTTATTGTTATTTTTTGACTGGTTTTCTTTTTTCGCAAAACCTCTGGTTTACAAAATCTATAATTTTTCACCACGAAGAGCAATATGATATACCGCTAAAGGTGCAGTTCAGTCCGACATCGGGTTTCCATCTTTCCACCTCTACTGAAAACGTGGTCGAACTTCAACTCCCACTAATATTTATCAATGTCAACAAGAAGAAAAAGACGTTGACATTTACGACGTTGGAATTGGTAATTTGAAATTTGAAATTTATTTATTCTCGATATCTCGAATAAATAGGTGTTTGATCCAAGACTTGGTTTTTTTGTGATTTAGATGAAAAAGAATACCAAGATCAATGATTCATTGACCGAAGTTTACTTGATGTCCGACAAGTATGGTACTTCGAACTTATATTTATATGCAAATCGCCATTGAAAATGTGGACAATGTACCGCGCAAATAAAATTTTATTAGGACGATCGAGGATCTTGTTGCAGAAATACGAAGCAGCATCGGCGTGCTCTACAAAGCTTCTGAGTCGATCGCAATGTTGGACATGTTAATTTCATTTGCTCATCAGTGCACTATTTCAAATTACGGTATATTTCGATAGCAACACGTGATATAATTTTTCAAATGGCACTTGCTAATTTTTTTGTTTCATTATTTTAAGTTCGACCAGAATTTACTGACACCCTAGCAATAAAAGCTGGAAGGCACCCAATGCGAGAAAGTATATACACTGACCCATTCGTTCCTAATGATACTTATGCAAGTGCTGCAACAAATTTCCAATTAATCACCGGACCAAATATGAGCGGAAAGAGTACCTATCTTAGACAAATCGCTTTGATGACTGTGATGTCGCATATTGGATTGTTGTAAGTGATCTACGCTTTATATATAATTCCTTTATGGTGAAGGTAACATGTTTCCATTGGACTTTCTAATAATAGTGTACCAGCCGATTACGCCTCTTTTAGGATTACAGATCAGGTACAGAGAAAACAACATTTGCACGATACTTTTTTGAGAAAAATTTCTGTTCAATTTCTAATACTATGTCCAAAGCTCTTCACACGCATCTGTAATGACGATAGTATTGAAACCAATACCAGCACTTTTGTCGTTGAGATGCGCGAGACCGCTTACATATTGCAGAATGTAAAGGATGAAAGCTTGGTGATCATAGATGAACTCGGGAGAGGTGCGTGAAAAAACCGGCTGTTTACTTCTAACATTTTCTGATATCTCCTAATAACAGGAACATCAACGCATGATGGACTGGGAATAACATACGCAGTCTGCGAGGAACTCCTAAAGACGAAGGTGACACGTGATTTATTAAAATCGTTTCACATATACAAAATGTATTAATCACCTTTCTTTTATTTGATGGTGTAAAAAGGCTTTTGTTTTCTTTGCTACACATTTTCATGAACTCACAATAAGCTTGACCGTGTATCCAAACGTAGTAAATCTGCACTTGGAAGTTGAGGTGAAATAATCGGATGTAGAAGGATTGCGTAATGAGGTTCAAATTAATGTGGATTTTTAAACAAACTGTTATTATATTTATAGATAAGTGAAAATGATAACCAATATTCGATGAGATATTCCTATCGAGTGAAGGATGGAAGCAATGATGAAGAACATTACGGTGACCTTTCCTCCTAAACCAACATCAACTTTTATGGATTTGATAAATTGACCGAGTTTTTTTATTTTTAAAAATTACAGGTTTGAAGTTTGGGCAGATCGTGGGTTTACCGCATGATATTATTCAGAAAGCTTTCGAAGTTTCACGTAAAGTATGTTGGCAATAAACAAACACTGAACCAATTACACTTGTCCTTCGTACATGATTGACCATTGCTCTACTCTTTTAGTTGAAAGGTCTTATCGACGCGAACAGGGAAAAATCTGCATCTAACAAAATAGTGCAGCGAAGGAAGGCGCTGATGCAAGTACGTTGTTAAAGGGGCACGATCCATCAAAAAGAAATTCTTTTCGTGATTTCTTAACGACTTATTTCTGTAAATTAGTTGACCCAACACCTATTACAAATCAAGAGATCGTCTAATCTGGATCAAGACGGTTTACGTAGGTATTTAAAAATGATCCAAGAAGAATTCATTGCAAAGATGGAAAAATTAATGTAGTCACCCATTGATGAGTACGATACCGATATACAGTATATACTATGTTTAATTAATAAAACACGTGTTTGCATAGATTTTAATTTTTAATTTATGGCATATTTTTGATTGGCTAGTGCATATATTGTATGTGGCCGCCCTACTAAACCTTTACGTGTGTAAACAAGCTGTATTATGCATCTTATTTTCGTGGATCTAACGTGGGACAAAAATGTTTGGAATTAAAAAATCGATCATTATGCCGTAATGGGCAATGTAAGGTTATACAAAAAATACATTATTTTAAAGTGTAAGATCTGATTATTAATTTTTATTTACGTATATTAATAAGCTATATGTTTGCTTTCTAATTCAATAATCATATCACAATATTTTTTTATCAATTTTATTAAGTTTATTAAAACTGTATTTGATATGTTTTTCCATTTCTTGATCATACATATGTTTGTATTATCATAAAAGGAAATTTGATTGACAATACAATTTCAAATTAAATATAAATTTCAATTATTTACTATATGTTATTTAATAATTTTATCATAATATGATTTTTGAAAAATGGTTGAATTTAATTTCACCACATGTATATTCTTGATCATGAATCATTTCAAATCATCAAGATTTTTCTGCATTTATTTATTATTTTATTTTTAATAATACTTTAAAGATTTTTGATGAAATTTATATTTGAATTATACATGTGGTGGAATTGAATTCTACCATTTTTCAAAAACCGTATTATGGTAGAATTACTAAGTAACATATAGTAAATAATTGGAATTCGTATTTAATTCAGAATCGTATTGTCGATCAAATTTCCTTTTATGGTAATACAACCACATGTATGATTTGAACTATTCAATGGTTAATCAATAACTTCTAAAATATTTTTTTTGAGAAAATTCTGAGCAAAATAATTTGTATACTTAGAATTATTATCTTCTAAAATCTCACTGGTTCTTAAACATATTATTAATCTCAGGTAAATATTTTTTAAATATTTCAATATAGAATTCCATATCCATAATTTGTTTAAAACAAAATAAAATTGGTTTTCCTATTATATAGAAGCCTTCATGCAAGAATTTTTTTCAGTCTTTAGATATTGAATAAATTAGTTTTATGTTCTTGTATCAATATTCTATAGTATTTCTAAATAATCAAAAGCTATTTCATCTAAAAATAATATTCAATTCCAATATTTATTATGATATTTTTGATCCATTTAACATATTTTATTTGTAAGCCTCAATAAATATAAGTGTTACTCTTACAAGACTTTTTTTGTATCCTATATTATTAAGATATCTTTCAATTGTTCTATAAGAAATATTTATATCTTTTTTTAATAGCTTTGTTACTAAAGTTTTTGTTAAAATAATAGGATTCCTACATATATATTGCTCAAGTAGAAGTGCTATTTTCTTGTTAATCTTTTTTAAATGACTGTTGCCTTTCAAATGCTTTGCTGATCTGTTTTTTTTAAACTTTATAATATTATTATATATTGTAAAGAGTGGAATATTAGTTCATATATATAACTCTTTCATATTACATATATTAATATTTTATAAATATAATAGGAATTTGTGTTGTCTTTTTTTACGAGAAGATGATATTTAAGAAAATGTTATACTACAAGGAAATGTATTATAATTACAAAATGATTATCATTTTAAGTTATAATTATATATTTATATATAAAAAAAAATAATACAATTTAAATTATATTTGAATAAGCAGAAAGATTTTTATTGCATCAAAAATTTTTTAATTATTTTTGTTCTATAGTAAAATTTTATATTTTCTTTTCACCTTTTTATAACAAAAACTTAATTTTTTTCCTAACATTTATCAAACTGAAATCTCTATCATAAGAAAAGCCTTCTTAGATATTTATAAATCAAAATCTTTCTACCAGAGAGTTACTCTTTAATATTTTGTTGAATCAAGATCTTCCTTATTACAAGAAAAAACTTTTATAAGCTTTTTTCCAAATCAAAAACTTTCTTATTACAAGAAAAGTCTCTTTTAAATTTTTTGTGAAACTAAAATCTTCTCTACCATAAAAAAACATATTTTTCAATCTTTTATCGAATTAAAATCTCACTGTTATAGAAAACAGATAAATATTATTTATTATGTTATTTCTTTTGTCGAATCTATATTATAAATAATAAGATCTACTGATCTCATATGAAAGATCAGTTATAAATCTTCCTTGTTTAATTGCTTCTTGGACAAATGGTAGAAGACAGTATCATATCGCTTGTTTAACCTTAGAGTTGATAGTGATTTATTTTAAGATTATAATCTATTGCTCCTATTAAAAAATTATATTATGGTGTCTCGATTAAATTATCTAATTCTTTTTAAGTAATATGGGATTTGGTAATTAAGCCTTTATATTGTAAATTTCCTTTTCATCAATTTTCATTATAATTAATGCAATAATATTTATTAATCTTTTTTATATTATTATGTAATTGTATTGTGAGATTATTTTTAAGAAATTTTATTAAAAATATTATTTTTATTATCAAATTTATATATAATAGTTACTATAGAGACTTTCTTATATATAATATAATTAATTATATTTTTCTTTTAATTATCATTAGTTGATTATACTTTTAATTATGAATTAAATAAACTCTATATAATTTTTTAAGTATAAGTTTTAAGCAATTGTGCTAAGTTTATATATATTTTCTAAGTAATATTATCATATAAACAAAACTTTGACTTGTCCTTTAAGAATTTGAACCAGAAGATATATTTTTTAAGTAATTGAAGATTTGTCCTGATTTTTTGATATTAATATATTTACTTATATAATCATTTAGAATTTAAAAATCTTATAATAATATAAATTTTGATATACATCATTAATTACTATGACTTGAAGATTAATAATGTTTACTATTTATCTCAATCAATATTAGAAGTAACAGGTGATAGTGTTACAACTCAAAGATATGAGTGTAAATTCTTTGCATGTTTAATTCATTTAATTCAAAAATCAAAACATTTAATTTATATAATTCTAATTTTACTTTATTATAATTGTGAATAACATCTGAAAGAAACTTGTTAAGAATATTGTTAATAACAATAATATATAAGGGAATAGAGTATATAATAATATTGTAAATTACTTCAATTAAAACTTTTAAAATGTTTTATTTTTATATTAAATTTAAATAAGATTATTAGATAAGTTATTTTATTAATTTGATTGTTAATTTCTTTAAGTATATAATATAGATTCATTACTTTTAAAATAGTATAAGTTTTTTTTTAAAAATTATGATTTTTTTTTAGAAATTTAAAAATACTTGGACTTTAGTATAGATTAGTACTTAGCAATATATAATAAATAAACTTGAAATAATTTAATATAAAATTTTCAAATTTTTTTGATTTTTTAAATAACTTTCTTATGTTTAATTAAACTTAATAAAAAATATCTTGTTATAAATTAAAGATTTTTATAGTAATCAAATTATTAAAATCAAATTATTAATTATTAAAAATTATATTTTTATTTGGTTTTAATATATTTTAAATAATTATATTTTGTTAAAAAAAATTGTAATTTAAAGTTTTAAATATATAAATTATTAAAAATTAATTATTAATTAGTAAAAAATATCAAATTGTATTTATAATTTGAAATTTAAATAAATTTTAATAAAAAGCATCTCAAAATCTTTTTAATTAATTATTTAAACAGAATATCTTTTGCAAATTGTTATTATATGTATTTTTTTTAATAAATAAATGTTATTTTATTTATTTTATTTATATTATTATTATTGTCTTGGAGAGAAAAATGAGAATTATATCAATTTAAACTTGTAATCAATAGATTGTTTCTATAAAATAAAAAAAAAACAGAAACAAATAAAAAAAAATAAAAAAAAAGATTCAAAGAAATATCAAAAAAAAATCAAAAAAAGAAGAAATTTTATAATTTAATATAAAAATGAAAATTTACAATTTAATATATTGAAACTTTCAGTTTCTCACTTAATAAATTTCAAAATTACCAATAAAAATAATTTTCAATCCTCAATAATTTAATTTACTTAACATATATTATGTTTTAAATAATATTAAATAAATTAAATAAACAATTGAATATTATTGTTTCAATTAAATTTTACAATTCTGTTCTAATATTGAAACTAAAAGATAACAATATAAAAATAAAAAGATAAAATGCCAAAAATTAATGATTTCTCTTCTAAAAGAGGAACAGTAGTTGTATTCAAAGATTTATGTACTGAGCCTAAAAAAATACAAGATAAAATTGCTCCTATTTTAGTGAAGGGTGATATGCTAATATCAGTTCAGTATATATAACACAAAGCTTTTTTGACTGTCCTAAACTAATAAGAAAAAATCTCGATTATATTGTTCTCTTTAATGGTAATGGGACATATGATGAACCAGTTCACATTGCCCGACGATATACAAAAATATGATGCGATGTTGTCGATATACTTGATAAAAATTTGCAAGGTAGGGAATTTATTGTTATCGATTTAACTAGAGCAAAAGAAGACCCTCTATATCTTCGCAAGGGATGGGACCAACCTCTTGATCTTTCTAATAAGTAGAGGATGATGAGATAATAATTATTTTTTTCGTTATTTATTAATACAATAATATAACAACAAGCGTGATCTATTATTGCGAAGCAATGACCCTTCGGGTCTACTCATCACTAGAGATTTTTGTGGCTCATAAAACATGTTGATATGAAAAAATCAAAGGAAAAAGATATGTGTTGTTATCTACACATTCTGCATCCACTTTTCTGGCTTCGAGTGATAGAGTCACGAGAAGGCGGGATTGATAAACCGAATAAATACAGTAGATGTGATAGGTATTAGATAAGTTGTGCATTGTTAATTTGTCGCATTTCCTTTCGAATCACCCATAATAATTGGTAATGTTGAGCTAATTCTTCGGCCGTCATACCATCGGGGTGATACATATATTCGAGCCATTTTTGTGCTATAATATTTACAGCTCGGATCTTTTTTCCAACTTCTCTTGCACGTTTAACCTTTTTTATAGCATTCTGTTCCCACAACCCATATCGATGCAATGCATACTCATTATCATAAATATATCCTGAAATAGATTTTTGTTCGATTTTCAGTAAATATTCATCATAACTTATATCACAAAAGCTATTTCCTGTACAATGGATAGCCCAATGCCTCTCCATTCCCATATGGTTATAATTACCTACATTTTTTGGTTCGTTTTCCAGTATATACTAAGTGATTACATGAGAAACAAATAGCAATGCCAATTTCAGGCGCATGACTTTTATAAAATCCATTAACTTCACTCCAATATGTTATTAACTTCCTAGCTTCAATATATTTTTACACTTAACCGAACATCCATCAGCATAAAATTAAGCAAATAACATATAGTGCGAATGCCATTTCAAGTTTAAAAGATGATCAGATTCGAAATATCATAAATCATTTTCCTAAAAAACTTACCATCATAGACGATTCAAACAGTGTATCAAACACTGAGGTAAGTATATCTACTGAATCTCGAGTTTCTGATCCTTCTGGTACTGAATCAACCCAAGGAAATGATCAAGATGAGTCAAAGACTCGAAGCTCTGCTTCATCGAAATCACCAGAAATCCAGGTAAGTGTATCTACCGAAGAGACAAATTTTCAAGTCTTCAACTCATCTGTTTCTTCTGATTCGAAAAAATTACAGGAAACAGAGGTAGGTTCATCAAACAAAACTCGACCTCTTATTTCACCTGATGATCCAGAACGTTATTAGTAAAGTGTTCGAGCAGTTCCCTTATTTATCTTCGAAGTATAACAATATAAATAATGATTTTTTTGATTTTTTTAGTTCAGTATCCTGCCCTATATGCAATAAAGATCATAAAAAAGAAATATAAGATATAATGTAGAGGGTGAATGGGGTAGTGGAGATTATGTTAATACAAAAACCTATCATCTCAAATGCTGGGAGGCTTATCAAAATTCAATCCAAATAATAACGGTGAAAGCATGAGATGCTTGAAGAGCGCCCCATAGGGCCTGAATAACGTATAACCAACATAAATCATTTTCCGCGATCACATGGGATTGTTCCCTTAAGACTCTATGTCACATACATGCGAATTAACATTCACTTACGAATCACAAAATATGGAAACTTGTTACTGAGATAAATAACTAGTAATAAATGAATGTGTTTTAGAATTATTACATAGAATGTGACCCGAGGTCACAATGTCACGTGACCGTATCGCAGTAATACAAAATGAACTAACATAGCATCAATATCATCCTGACTCATTTTTTAAATTGACGATGCTGTAAAAGATTTGACCCATTGGATCATATTCTTGCCAATTTCACTAAATAAATCATAGATTTCTGAGCTCTCTCTTTTCTCTTTCGTAGTAAGGTCTCACTAACCGAGTTGGGGAGTTGTTTCCTAACTTCTTTATTGACTAATTCCTGGGCAGTACGTTTTGGATTGCTTTTTTTGTAATGATTGTATCTATCCTCGAGTGCTTTACCAAAATCATAGTATGACTTAATCACGAGTTGATTTACACGTTCGCTTTGTTCTTCGGCCCTATTGATTGCAAGATATAAACCGTGGAAATTCGGATAACTCCTCAATAAGCTTCTTTACCACATTCGAGGAAATTTCATTCTAGTTTTTGACTCATCCTTCTTCTCGTCACTCTTTTAACTTTTTTAGTAGACTGCGAATTACTGGAAGCTAATGGGTTGGGACGTTTGAGTGTTGATGTAGTAGAATCTGTGGTCTCGTTTGTATTATCTTGATCGGACTATATGTCTTGTCTGTCTGGAATTTTTGACTCAAATAATTTCGCCAGTACTTCTTCATATTGCGTCGTGAGGTCTATTTGAATTATAACGAATAAGGTGGCTTATGTATAAAATTTTTCTGTCGCACAATAATTATCTCGGCAATAATGAAGAATCTAGATACACACTGCATATAGGTATACACTGGTTAAAAAATTACACAAATTGAAGTTAAATTTAAAACGGATGGTAAACAATGCAATATTAATAATTAATCTCTATTTGCTATTTATTTTACTGATTGTTATTTTTAATTATAGTAAGTATCTTATATTATTTTAACTATATTTATACTCATTGCGACGCGTCTGCTAATCTATCGTCGCGTCATGCAAATTAAGCTTTTGGCTGAATAGACTTCTCTGTTCATGATCCGCCGCTATGACAAAGAATATCGAATTGTCATCATTACATCATTGTTAATAATTCAATATTCTTTGTCAAATATAAATAAGTCCGCTTTGCATATTTGAGCAAGATAATGTCAACGATAAAGTATCGAGGAGCACAAGAAATTCG